AAAACCTTTTTTTTCTTTTCTTAAATTGGCAAAGTTTAATATTTATATGAAACAAATGAGAATACACCAAACTGTATTAGTGTATAATTCAGGATCCATGTTATTATAGGAAATTTAAAAATTCTACATTTAAACATCTAGATAATAAAGTAGAAGATAGAGATTGTGAGGTTTTTAAAAAGAAATCTTTTTTCCCCTTTAATTTTTGAAAAACTTTTATTGTGAATTGGATGTCTATTATATTTTAATCCCCCACTTTTTTTAAATGGACTTTTAGAAGCCCCTCCCTTCATATGTGAGAAAGGAAGATAATTTAAAACTTGCCCCTTAAAAAAAAAAAAAAAAAAAAGGAAATGGGTGAAATAAATTTTCATACATTGTATGTAACTCAATACAGCCAAGTTACATCTATATATAATATTTCAAAACTATGGATGAAATTTTAGAAGTCCCCTTGGGTCATAAAAATGACTGATGTGGTTGGCTGATAAAAACCAAAGGGTTGGAGGTTCGAGTCCATGCTGAGGCACCTTCTGAGAAAGGCCTGGTGATCTGCTTTTGAAAAAAACAGTCATAGAGAACCCTGTGGTGTGCAGCTCTACTCTGGAACATGAGGCTGCCATGAGCTGGGAGTTCATTCAAGAGTAATCGACTGTTTTCAATGGAGATTTTATCTTCCTGTGTGTGTGTGTGTGTGTGTGTGTGTGTGTGTGTGTGTGTGAAGTCTTCAAGAGACAGTGTATAATTTATACTTACAGAACATCTCCATTCACATGTTAACTTACCTTCAGAAATACTTGATCTATATTTTGATTTCATGGATTTTATAATTGAAAGTCAGGTTCTAAATCCAATTGTTCAAAAAGTGCTTATTTTTCAATAACTGAGTCAAGTCCATTTTAAAGCTTGAATTTGAGTCGGTGAAAAGGAAACGAAATTAAATTAAGTGCTTTGGCATGCCGTCACTATTTCAAGTGCCCAATAGGCAAGTGCGGCTGGTGGCTTCCATATTGGTCAGTGCAGCTCTGCCTTGTCAAGGAGTCCCATAGTAGTGCATAAAGTCACCCTCGTCTGCCAGGTGAACTATGGGTAGCTCTAACCCGTCCTGAGGAACCTTGAAAGACAGGCCTGGCCATTGTGACCAGACAGTGACAGCTTTCTAAATCTTAGGAGCTGTTCTCCTCTGCACACATGAGTGGTGCCACAAATTGGAATCAGCAACTGGTTTGGTTTTAGTGTTTAGGGAAATATTTTTCAAAGTATATATTTGCATTTGAGGTATCAACTTGGTTGGAACTGATTTTTATTTAAAAGAATGGTTTGACCAAACAATAGTTTAACTTTATTAGTAAAGAACACCCGCCTTGCACATTATGATCTTTATATACATACATATAAGATTTTATTGTGAATTGAGTAATAGTTGACATAAGGATGAACGTAAAGCTGATGCGGTCTTATCGTATTTCATTTCATTGCCATGGTTACAATCCCCTACATGCACTATGATTTTTAAAGCACTATCTGAATGGGATAAAATTGACAGTTGTACCTGGAAAGATTAGGTAGGAAACTGGACAGTGAGTTTGTCAGTGGTTGAATATTTTGGGAAAGGAGAAAATGTTTGCACAACTTGAATATACTGAAACATACATGTAGAAATTGTTGGGAGAGTGTATGGTCTGTGTATATTTTCAACAGTAACTGTTCTTTTTTGAAAGTAAAAGAAGATGGTTTGTAGAACTGGCTAACCCTACTTTATCTGTCTGGCTTTCTCTTACAGTTTGATGAAATGTGATCTGAGAACTCTAGGGTTTGAAAAAGTCTCCTCGCTCTTCAGCTGTCAGAAGCTAAAACGGCTGACCTTATCCAACAATACACTGAGTGTCCATGAGGTGGATATCCTGTGTGATGCTTTGCTCCACCCAAACTGTACGCTTGAGTCTCTGGTGTAAGTTGAAGTGGGCAAACCCACCACATAGACACTTAAGACACCGGTTTAAGCATCTTAGTCATAGGGTCAAGAGAGAAGATCATGGGATGGGAAGTACAGCAAGCAGAGCGTCTGAAGGCATGGTGTCTGGAATTGGGTTTGGGGTCAAATTCCAGAGTGACAACTAAATTTGTAGCATGATGTCGACAAAATGTATTTAGCTTTCTCAGCTTCCATTTCCCAATCTAGAGAATGGGATCATCACTTAACCAACACTATGGATGTGAATAGAATGATGGTACCTAAGAAGGATCTATGGAGTCATGGTGTGGTGCTCTAGGATAATGCACTGGACTGCAAGGTCGGTGGTTCAAACCCACCAGCCACTTCATAAGCCCTATATAGGCTCGCTATGAGTCAAAACAAACTCGACGGCACTTAATAATATAACAAAGATGGTCTATGGAGTCCCTAGGTGGTACAAATGGTAAAGCACTCAACCTCTAGCTTAAAGGTTGAGTTGAACCCATCCAGAAGAACTGCAGAAGAAAGACTTGTAGCGATCTACTTCCAGAAGGTCACAGCCTTGAAAAACACTATGGAGCAGTTGTACTCTGACATACATGATTAATTACAGATTCATGGTTACCCCAACGGTGACTAACAACCAAGAGGTTCCAAATACAGCACCTGGGCCCCATAGCAATGGGCTCAAAATTGAGGGGCCTATATAATGTCTATAAAAATAGGCAACAATAAAAATAATAAAATTAAGCAACTACGCTAGGTATAGTATGAAATGTGATGTGACAGGCAGTATTAAGATGAAGTAAAAGAGATCACCTTGAGTGTAGAGTTGTTTGGACAGTAGCTATCTATATCTCTCATAAGGAGAGGGGCTGGGCTGGGCTTTGGGTGAATAAACAATGTAGTTGACTTAATACTTTCTCTACATTTATGATCCCATGCAGGTTACTCTACTGTTGTATCACCGATGTCTGTTGCTTCTCTATTGGGCGAGTTATTATGTTAAGCCAAACCCTAAAACACCTAGATGTGAGTGTGAATTTCCTACAGAATTATGGAGGATTGATCTTAGTTTTGTCCTTGTTGATGCCAACCAGTCAGTTAAAGGAGTTGGAGTAAGTCTTGCCATTTTCTTGGATGACCGTGACTTTGCTTGTGTTGGGGTGGTGGAGTTGGCAACAAAAATGAGAAATTACTTTGATAGTGTCCAGGTGGTAAGTGGTGGGCGGCAACACGTAGCAAAAGCCAACCGTTCCCACCTCTGCTGATTGCTGTTGAGTTGATTCCAAATTATGGAGGAGAGCCCAAGAGTAGAAGTGTTCCACTGGGCCTGCAAATGTTTGGGATTTTCAGAAGTAGATTTCCAGGCTTCGTGAGGTACCTCAAGATGGGTTTGAATTGCCACACCAAACACTTAGTGGTCTGTGCCACTTAGGAACTCCCAGAATAAGAGCAGTTTTTTGGGAGTTTTTTGGTAGATGTTCTAGAGTATAAGTTTACAAAGTTCCTTGGATCCTAGTTAATCACACAGAGAAATCCATCCACACTAGTCCCAGCTGGACATACTGCAAAATAGTTACGTAAACTAAGACCCCAGAGAGTCTGCCCTGGCCTAGGTTGCATGTTGTACAGATAGAAGCTTCTCCAGGACTAGGCGTCTTTGCTGGGAAGGGGTCTCGTTAGAGTCAGGAGTAGAGTTTAGGGAGGTAGCTTTTATCAAACAATTTGAATGGATTCAAAGTCTATTCTCCTCAGAGGTATAGCTTAATTATTGTAGGATGGCCCTTGACCGATTCTAGGAAGAAATAGGTAAAATTGGCATAGTAACCAGACTTGAGACCATTATGTGAAACCATGCCCATGAATACACATACATGTCAAAACACATACATGGTAACACCATTCACAATACTCAAAAGGTAGAAACAGTCTAAATGCTAATCAACAGATAAATGGATACACAAAGGAGAGTGTACACATGAATACTACTTGGCCATCGAGAGAAATAAAGTCCTGACCAAAATGGACAAACCTAGAAAACACGCTGAAACAACAAAAGGACAAACACTATACGATCTCACTTACATGACTTGGCAAACTCAATGTCACTAAAGTTCCTGAGTGGTTATCAGGGGCAGGAGGAAGGGGACGGATAGGTGGAGCTGCTGTTTAGGAAGCAGTGGGCTTCTGTTGATGGTAATGGGCAAGTGATAGCTCTAAACTGTACATCTGAAAACAAAACTGAGAGCTTGGAGACCATGCCTAGTGTATTGGAGCCATTCTATCGTGTTAGTAAGACGGCTCTTGTCTCCATGGTGAATGCCTTCCTCATGGACGTCATGAGAAGCGTAGTCCAAAAGCACTTACCACTTCACTGAGGCGAGACATTTGGGGCCGGTGGCTGTGACGGCAGCTCACGCTTCTCTTTTGCAGGCTGTCTGGCTCTTTTATCACTGCTCGGATCTGTCCAGCCATTTCCATTGCTATGCTTGCTAGTAAAAACCTGAGGAGCCTGGAACTTGGGAGTAATCACCTAGGGGACGAAGGAGTAGCCCTGTTGTGTAACGCCTTGAAGCATCAAAACTGCAAGTTGGAGAATCTTGGGTAGGTACCTGATGAGGAAGGGTTCTTTTTTGTTTCTTTGTTTTTTAGTTTGGAAAAGCACCAAATGGGGGGACAGGTAGAAAATGAAAGTGGGTTGGGAAATAGAAACCCTCGGGTACAATGGTCTACTGTTTCCACTGTTTCATGCTCTCAGATTGTAAATCCTGTAAATCCTTTTCATCCAGAACTGATGATGTAGGCGTTTAGTAGCTGTCTCATTATCACACAGTACTTCTCTGCCTGCCATTTTCCTGAAGGAATGGGCCCAGCCTCACCTGGGTATCTTTGTTACAGGCTAGAAGAGTGCATGCTCACTGCAATCTCCTGTGAAATTCTTGTTTCCGTTTTCACCATCAACAAAACACTGAGAAAACTCAATCTGCTTGGAAATAACTTGGGTGAGGAAGGAATTGTGCACCTCCTTCATGGCTTGGGGCATCCTGATTGTTTGCTTCAGACAATTGGGTAAGTTAAGTGATATTTGATGGTGGTGAGACCTGGGTAGTGGTGTAAAAGGTTAACTACATGGCTATTAACCAAAAGGTTGACCATTTGAATACCCTGGTGTGGTGCTGTGGGCTAATGTGTTGGATTGCAAAGTTACTTTGAACCGCAAGGTTGGCGGTTCAAGTTCACTAGTCCTCAGAAACAGTATACAGAACTGATTCTATGGCACTTAACAACTAAAACAACAACAACTACAACAGGGGTCTTAAAGGAAAGATCTGGAGATCTACGTCTGAAAACTCATTGAGAACCCAATGAACACAGCTCTATTCTGAAACATGAGGTCATGAGGAGTCGGAGTTGACTTGAGAGGAAACTGGTAAGATCAGGTAAAAGGGAAACTTAAGATGATCTTTGAAGTGCCATCAAGTCAGTTCCTACACAGAGATTCTGTATAGGGTTTCTGAGGATTAGCTAGTGGGTTTGAACCACTAACTTTGTGGTTAGGAGTCCAGTGTTGATCCTAAGATGATCTAGGGTATACAAAATAATGATGCACTCTATTGCTGGCTCCAATTCCCTGGGGTGGGGGTGGGGGGGCTTGAGTCTGCCTTGTTGGGAGATTGAGATCGTCTTGTATTGGGCTTAAAACAAACTACAGTCAATGGGGGGAGTAAATGGTGACAACAGCTTGGTATGTAATGCCAATAATAATCCTCTTTAAGAATTTATCTTCCTCCTACCTTCTGTTTTCCTCTGTTTGAACATGCCCCTCTTTACTGAAGAAAGAACAATCAAGGTCAATTCTCAGGCTGCCATTGTGTGGCTCCCAATCAGGGCCATTGACTCCACTTTTGTAAAGTAACGATTGTCTTCCTATCTGTTAACTGTTAGATGTTGTTGATGTTAGATCCCATCAATTGGTACCAACTCATAGCAACCTTATGCACAGCAGAACAAAACACTGCCCGATCCTGGGCCAACCTCGCTACTGTTACCACGCTTGAGTCCATCGATGCTGCCACTTGGCCAATCCATCTCGTTGGGGGTCTTCCTCTTTTTCTCTGACCCTCCACCTTACCAAACATGATATCCTTCTCCAGTGACTGGTCCCTCCTGGCAATATGTCTGAAGTATGAGAGACAAAGTTTAGCTATCTTGGCCTCAAAGGAGCACTCTGGCTGCACTTCATCCAACACAGATCTGTTGGTTCTTTTGGCAGCCCATGGCACTTTCAATATTCTCCTCCAACACCATGCCTGTGGTTACCCATGTACAAATATCCTTTAATCACTTATACCTATACATCCCACTAGTATATATATCTCCCACTCTTCCTCCCAGGCCCATTCAGCCTGTGTCTCTGTCTATGTATCTACACCCAGAGCCCTGTTGTTCATCATCAGTATGTACCTCTGTCCCCTTTAGCCCTTGCATGCCTCTCTGCCAACCTCCGTCTTCTTGTATATTGCCCTTCTCATCATCAAGTTAATGTGTCTCCCCTCTAGCCAGTGAATTACTTTCCCTTCCCTCTCATCCTCAGTAAGCATCAAAGAATATTTCTTTTAGTATGAAAACTTTTTCTTAAGTTTTTACAATAGTAATCTCATACAATATTTGTCCTCGTGTGATTGTCTATTCACTCAGCATAAAGTCCTTCAGGCTCATCTATGTTACAAGGTGTTTCACAGATTTACTGTTAAACTCTTCACCATTGCATAATGTTCTACTGTGTGTAAGTACCAACATTTGTCTACTCTTCCATTAATGGGCATTAAGCATTGAGATTGTCTCCATCTTGCTATTGTGAATAGTGCTACAATGAATATTGGTGTGCATAGATCTCATTGTGTCTTTGTGGACGTGTATCAAATAGGATTTCTGGGTCATACAGCACTTCTATTTCCTACTTCTGAAGAACTGACCTGACAGCACTTAACAATTATGTTGTCTTTTTCTTGTAGAGATGTTGTAGTTTTTCCATAAATTTTAGAGATTAGTCCCTTGCTTATTGCAGAAAAAAATTTTCCCAAGTCTGTTGGCTCCCTTTTTACTCTTTTGGCAAAACATTTAGATGCACATAAGTGTCTAATTTTTAACAGGTTTCAGTTATCTATTGTCTTCTGCTGTTGGTGTTTTTAGTAATATTTGATTAAAAATAAATGTTTACATTTATGCCATGTATTAGAGCCCATAAGCTTGCCCCTATCTTTTCATTGACCCTTTATAGTTCTTGGTTTTACATTTATATCTTTAATCCACATTCAGTTTGTTCTTATATATGGCATGAGATGCAGGTCTTGTTTGATTCTTCTGCAAATGAACTTTGAGTTTTGCAGCACCATTTGCTGCAAAGACTTTCTCTTCCTAACTTAATGTGTTTTGGCCCTTTGTCAAAGATCAACTGACTATATGTGCATGGATATACCTCTGGGTTCTCAATTCTGTTCCATTGACCTATGCATTTTTCATTGTACCAGTACCAGGCTGTTTTGACCACTGTAGCTGGATAGTAAAATTTAATGTCAAGGAGTGAGAGTCCTCCCACTTTATTCTTCTTAAGCAATGCTTTGATTACCTTGGGTCTCTTTATTTTCCATATAAAATTAATGATCATCTTTTCCATAACTTTAAAGAATTATGTTGGAATCTAAATTGGGATTGTGTTATACCTATAGAGTGCTTTGGATAATATTGACATTTTCACAATGCTAAGTCTTCTATCCATGAACATTGTACTGTATATTCTTCCATTTTTATAAGTATGTTGGTTTCTTGGAATAGTGTTTTTGGTGTGTGTTTTTTTTCTCCCTTTGGTTAGATTTATTCCTAAGTATTTCATCTTTGGGTGACTATTGTAGATGGTTTTGTTTTCCTGATTTTCAGTTGTTTTTGTTGTTAAATGCCATCTATATTACTATAGAAGGAGCTCTGGTAGTGTAGTGCTTACGAATCGGGCTGCGAACC